TTCTCCTTTATCTTAAAGTCTTTATGTTTTCTATCATTAATGCCTACAAGAGCAACATAAGTTTTTCCTTCTATTCGTTATGTCCATACATAATTTGTTTCTCCCTATTGTTGTTGTTCTTTAATTTATATATGTTCTTGATAGATATGTTTACCGTGATGATGAGTTTGACAAGGATGATACTACTTTGATCCTCATAAAAATATCATCTATTTCTTCAAAGGATATTCGAAGTGTTCGTACAAGTATTTTTTTTAAAAAAAAGTTAACATAAATGTTTTAAATATATAGGTATAACAATATAAAAAATTATAAATTAAAATATAAAAAATAATTTTTCAAAAAATATGTATAATGAATCCAAAAGAATTTAAATTTTAATGTTTCCCAGTACTTTCTGCATGAAAAATTGTTAAACTTATTAATACTATTTATTATTATATTTATTAGGAGGAAAATTATTTAATATTTAACCCTCAAACTTTTTAAATTTGAATTTGAATTTAATAGGTAGGAAAAGAGTTCAGTATTTAATGTTTCTATAGTGGGAAAAAAATTAATAAATTTAATTTTAATATAAAATTATAGATTAAATGAAAAAAGATTTAAAATTATAAAAGTATATGTATAGTCGATAAAAAATAATTTAAATTTGAAATTTAAATGCAAAAAAATGAGAAATGACATATTAATACTTTAAAAGAAAATAAATTAAAAATTTAACTTAAAAAAATAATTCAAAAAGAGAAAATTCCAACACGTTTAAAAGGCCAGCCCATCAAACAGGGGAGTTAGCCCGCCAACACGTTTTATAATTATATTAAAATTCAAATTTTCATCTTTTATAATTAAATTCCTAAATCTAATTTCAATTTTGTAAATACTAATTTTTAAAGCTTCAAATACTAAGGCCACAAATTCTAGCAAAAAAATAATTATTTATTCTTATTAATTACTAAATTAAAAGGAACGACCATTCAATATTTTGCAATATATTATTATTTTAATGCTATTTAGCCTGCCAACTATGAAGTGTTTGTTAGAATAGTAAACATTATAACTTAAATATTTTTTGCTCTTCATCTAATATATATGTCAAAAATACACACATCTCAAAGAATCGATTTAGAGGCAACTATAAAAAACATAGATAAATAGTAATATAGACGCGACTATAAGAACCTTTTTTGTAGATAAATATAAAAACGTATTACATGCTGATATAAAATTCTAACGGTTAGAGTTGGCAAAATGGGCTCAGCCCGCTTTTCCCGACAACGCTTTATATATATATATATATATATATATATATATATATATATATATATATATATATTTATTTATTTATATTTATATTTACTGTATAACAAATCCATCTTTGTGTGGCTAAGATCAGTGGATTTAGTGTTGTAAATATTTCATAAACAAGCATCAAAACAAAATGAACAATCAGATTGTGATAAATGAAAGTCCATCTCTGATAAATACCGAAAGAAACAGAGTCAAACTATATAATTTCTGATTGACTACAAGACAAGCTAAAATGCAACGATATACTTTTACAATTTGCGTTAACTTTTACGAGACAAACAAATAGAAAGAGTTTTATTTATTTATTTTTTTAACCGGTGTTGTTATTACACTTACAATCAAAAGAATTAGTCATGATATCGAATTGTGGAGTAATACCGGCCAATTCTTTGGAACGTAAAACCAAATAATTGAATATATATATACTTAAAACCAAAGTAAAATTACACTTATAATTATATTTAATTTTTTAAAATTATATGTAACTTTCAAATATAAATCATGCATAACTTATTATTTTTAAATATAAAATCTTTACATGCTAATATAAAGTGTTGAAGGTTAGAGGTAGCAAATTGGTCTCGGCCCGGAGGGCCGACCCACCCCACCTGCCAACACATTTTTCTTCTTCTTATATTTACTATCTAACAAACCAGTCTTTGTATGGCTAAGTAGTTGTTAGAATATTAAACGTGATAACTCAAATATTTGCCAACTATTCATCTAATATATATGTCACAAATATACACACTTCAGAAAAGTCGATTTAGAGACAACTCTTCATTTATTGCAAGTTAATATAAAATGCTGACAGTTAGAGATGGCAAAATGGGCCCATCTCACCTGCCAAACAGGAGGGTTAGCCCACCACACATTTTTTTCTCTTATATTTTCTGTCTAACAAACCATGTTGGTATAAAATGTTGACAGTTAAAGATGACAAAATGAGCTCAGTCCAGAGGGTTGTTAGTGTCTTACTAACACTATGAGGTACCTAACTCCAATTTTTTCTACATGAAGAGTTGACAAATATTTGTGTGAGTACGTTTAATAATCTAACAAACACTTCATAGTTGAAGTTAAATGTGATAATCAAAAGAGCATTCATTATCTTAATTGCATAAAATGGAGCGATATACTTTTACGATTTGCGTTAATTTTTACGAGACAGACAAACCGATTTATTTTTTCCCCGTGCATCTCACGAATAATACACTGATATATATATATATATATATATATATATATATATATATATATATATCTGTGTGTGTGTGTGAAAATAATGACACGTTCTGTCTTTTAGAGATTAACCAACGACTGTCGTCGATAATTTTTTTGATCTTTTTCCTCATGCATCGCACGGGTAATGCACTAGTCTTAACTAGGTATCAAAATGTTATCCTTCTAATGATTGGCTAGTTAAGATAACTTATCATTCATGATAGAGATTCTTATGCATAAATGTTTTTGAATTATCACAATCAATTGTGCTTGATGTTTAAGCATAACCATCAAGATTCATCTTTTCACCTTAATCATGACTCTTTATAACCGCAAATACTCATTTAGCTAGAGCAGCTCGTTAAGCCCAATATTTTCTTGGTTGAGTGATATATCTTGAGTGCATGACTTAATTTTGTGGTAAATTAAGTGTTGGAGTGCAGATACAGTATGTATGTGGGATAGGTGGGGAAAAGTAATCTAGAACTTTTATAATTGAGGCTCGAGACTCACTATTGAATTACTATATGGGATAACTAAAACGGAAATAGACAATCTTTGGACATTTGAGTATTTCAAGTCAACCCATATGTTAAATATCCCTAGTCACCCAGTTTGAGTCTTCAGCCATTTTATTTCTTTCATACATTTAAACACACATATTTTTGCTCTACGAATATTTTCTAAAAGTGCCAGTATCGTAGTCTATGAAATCATATCACATAATTGCACCACAAGAGTTAGCAAGCAAGAATCAAAGGAGCATTCATACAACAGTTTTTAAAAAAAGGAAAAGAAGAAGAAGAGATCAACAACAAAAAATCAATCAAAGGAATTCATAAAAAAAAAAAAAAAATCAAAATCAACAAAAGGGAGAGAAAAAAATAGTGAAGGAAGGCGAGCAACATATACTTTGAAGAAATCCAATATTGAAGTCAGGGGGAACTTGTATCAGAAGTGAGAAGATAAAGGTTAGCATATCCTTTGACACCAGTTACAAAATTTAGCTATGTTACAAAAGATGTCTAAGTGTAAAAGTTAATGTGAAATTACTGCAATATTTTGGTTCTCTGGCTATGCAAATCACCGGACAATTGAACAATATAGTTCTTTTTTTATATTATCTATCAGTTTATCAATTACTCAACTAATCCAATTCGAGCTGAGTAGAACCATATGAGCGACAAAGCTCTCCCTATCAAGTTTTAAAATAGTAGCTACATTCCGAGGAACTCGAATCAAGACCACTAGTTAAAAGAATAACAAAATTCTAGAATTACTGTTCGTAGCATTGTTTTGATAGCTTTTTAATTTATTTTGAAACTCTAGCATTTTACAATCATAGAAGATCCTTTTGTTGAAATCATTTTGGCTTGTTATAACTTTTCAATATATTTGAAAGATATTCTTGTTGCTTGCAAATGGTATATGTATTGTATAACAGATATTTATTTATTTATTTGGATATTAAAAATATAGAAGGAATTCTGCAGAAATTTTGACTGATAAAATTTAAAACAAAACGGTTTTGGAATCATATCTCGTTTAATATGCCATTGTAAAATGTAAAATTGTTAAGACGGTGGTTTAGCCAACGTCCTCACTCGAAATCTGAGTTGTGATTATAAAATTAATAATTTGACAACCAATCTACTGTATTTTTTGTTTTACACGTAAAGACAACATACCAAACTTCCCTTTAAGGGCTCCATTGTAGATTCACCCGAACCAACTAATTAGAAATGTTTGGGTAAAATTGGTTTGATCTTAAGTTACTTATATCCCGTTAAAATGTCCAAACTTGTAGGCAGTGTGAATGCCGTAATCTAAAAACATTCGAGCATCGACATTTACATAGATGTTGACTCTCTCAAAACCCCACAAGCTAATCTATCACCATTCACTTCTCTTTTCTTTTCTTTTTTCTCTCTCCTTTCTTTTCTCTTCAATCTATGACTCGATTCCTGTGAGCCATACACAGGAAATATTTCTGTGCAACTAATATTTCCGTCAGAATTTACATTAATTAGCTAGTCTCTATAATAAACAAAAGGATCGCAATTCTATACATATAACTGTGTCTGTTTGGCATCCACCGTGCAAAAATGAATGCCCTATCTTTGCCGTACATTTGATGCTTTGGAATGCAAGAGATTAATAAAATTTGCATCTTAGTAAAAATATTAAAGTTGCAGAAGGGTAGCTGGACAAAATAAAATTCCAAAAAGCAGAAGAGCTCAATGTAATAATCACCCGTAGCAGTTCTCTAATTTTGACTCGGTTGAATAACATTATAGATTTTTAAAACTCTTCAACACAAGAAGATCACCACAAAAGACATTGTTAAGCCTGTTCAAACTGTAAATTATTCTATGTGCATCAATGAGACCTCAATGGGGATTGATTAAGGTATTTAGTGAATTCAAAATTCTTGAAGTGTTGATTTGACAAGCCATGGTTCCAGACAATGCCTCTAACAGTCCAAATCAAACTGCACACCATCTTCACTATATTTATCCACAAGCTGGCATAAATCTTCACTATATTTATCCACATTGTAGCAAATAGGCATTCTAAAACAATAAAGTTCTGATACAATGTTTACTTAAGATAGCATGAAATCTTCACTTGAAACAAGGACCAAAATTTGTTTCTGAAGGACTAGTTTTAATCATCCACTTTAGAGTAAAACTACCAAGACAATGCCATAAAAGGCCTCCCAAACACATTAATGTAACTCATTAAAAATAGAATTTGAAAAAATAATTGCTATTGCTATCCATATATTTTGTCTGTGAAGGATGGAACTTTGGTCAATACTTTCAAAAGCTGACTTGAGCAAAGAAAATTATGCCCGAACCCTGAATAATTCCTGATTTCTTAGCCCAGCAAAGATAAACTGGAAGGAGGTTAACCAAAGAAGGAACCGAGTACCAGGCTTCTTCAGGCTTTAATTTCACTCCAAAACAACTAGTCTTTTCCATCCATTAGCTTGGCATCAACCATCATGGATGTTGATGGTCATCTGTTAAAACATCTTCGGCATTCACTATTCAGTGGCGTTCATGTTGGGAAATCAAAATACAATAAAACTTACACTAAAATGATGAAAAGATACACACCTGATGTAGGACAACTAGTTGTTAATTTTAATTCTTGGGCAATTCCCTCAGCTAGCATAATGATTGCTGTCCATAATTTGAAATCAGCAGCAAGATCTTCCAAGGGAATACAGTTGCCCTTATGAAAGATTACGGAAAGATCAAATCTAAATCAGGATGGCAGTAAAAACTCCTTAAAAACTGACACAAAAAATCCAAGATATAGTTGTTTGCATGCTTTGATGCCTTCTAAACCACATAAATATAGCACAATTAGCTAAATAAAAATTATTGAAAAAAAATAAAAATCTCATAATTAAAGGCCCGAGAATCACCTTCATACTTCAAGAAAATATGCTGGAAAGTAGTACGTATTTAGTTCCATCTGGCACCTAATTGTCAACAATACCTTCATCTTCAATGGAATGAGTAATAGATGACTAAAATCCAAACATCCTGATAAGATTCTGATATAATTGAAGGCACTCACTTCCATGCACCAAAGTCAATTGACTGAAGTGATATATGACCAAGATACAAATCCCTCAAGTGCTGCTTACACAACCCTACTCGCCGTTTATTTAAGCTTGGATGAATGCAAGTTGAAAATCCAGTCTTCCAGCTTGGAGACTTCTGCCTTTCCATAACATGAAGAGTATAGACTCTTGGAGCTGAAGATGAACACCCTAATACAAAACAATTACAAGGTCTTGCCTCGGTCACAATTCTGGCTAGAGACAACAAACACAAACCGCTATAAGAAATTCCATACATTAATGCCTCATCATTATCAAAAGCTTGAACACCCGAAGCTTCATTTTCCATTTCCTTCTCTGTGTCCTGTGTTGATGGAAGCCTGCTAAGTTCCTCGTCAAACCGCTTTTCTATCTCAAGTTCGTGTACCCGATACTTTGCTGCTAAAGTACGAATGCACGATTTCCTGACTTGATCCGAAATCAATACCTTTATCTCATTAAAGTTAGCACAATTTTCATACCATTTCAGCCAGCGGCAAGCAATCCCTGAAAACCAGTCAATAATTTCAGTTGTATCTTGCATGATAAGTAAATTAGCAGAACGGGGGAATCCCTTAGATGTAGTCAATCCATATCTCAGGAGACGCTTTTTTATGGCAGAGATAGGGGCAATAATCTCAGTTTTTTTCACCACATGTTCTGTTGTGCTGTTATTATTTGGCAAAAGCTTGAGAACAGAATCTGCCTCAGAAGATATATAATGCTCTGCCTGTTTTATAAATTCATAAAAGGAATCCCTTAGCTCTTTTGGAAGAGCAGGCTCCGCAACACACTTAGATAAGATACTTTCTTCACTCTTGGCATTTTTTGCTTGAACATCTTGCATCCATATCTTCAATAAGTGCTTATACCAATGATCAGTTTCCATTCCAGGCTTACGGTAACAGGAAACCTTGTTCAGGAGAGAGCTACTATCAGCTAAATGATTGATTTCCGACTCCTTAACCTTCTTCAAACCATGACCCAACCATTTCTTCCCAATTCTAACCGTCCCATAATTCCAAGCCTCCATCTTCTGCAAAGCAAACAGCTCTACTTTTTCTTTCAACTTGTGAACAGCTTTCACAGCAGGACTCTCACTAACATTCTTTCTCACCAAAGCTCCCAAAAACCGGATACCACTCGACCCATCACAAGGCAATACATCAGTCTCATCACCCACATCCAACATCAAAGAATTCTTCAAATAACCTTGGATCTCAGACTTAAAACTAACAGCCGTATTCCTATCCCCAGAAACCGCAAAAAACATCTCATCCATAAACCTACAAGAGTAAACTTTATTCCCGGAATTCTTCTCAACCATGCCCCCAACTCTAACAACACCATTACCACCCAATCCTCTCCGGAACCAACCGCGCAACTTGGAGCATGACCTATCCTGATCACTACTACACACTCCATCCTCAATAGCTTCATACTTCATTGACAACCTGTAAAACTCACTATCAAAGAGGTCAAGGTATATATTCATTAAAATTGGGGACAAAACCCCTTCTTGAGGGAGACCATGTCCTTTGGGGAAACCCCCAAACTCAAGATTCAACACCTGAGCATCAAACATGCTCCTAATTAAACCATATAACAAAGGATCTTCAATCTTATCCTCCATTATCAAAATCAACTTATCCAACAAATCCTTATCCAATTTCTTGCTCACAAGCAAAGTGAACCACCAATCAGGACTAGACACACCTTTGCAGATGTACTTCAACGCCGCCGACCGGCCCCTCCCACTCCGGCAACCGTGCGAGATCTTCGAAAATTCCGGCCGGTAAACAACTTCCAAAGCCATCCTAATCGCTTCCTGAACAACCTTCAGCTTCAAATTGGGAAGCACCAAGATCTCTTTGTTCCTCAACCTTCTCCTCGTCGAAAAGGAAATCGCATTCGCACTCACATCAAAACTCCCTTCACCAACCTCTTTAACCAGCTCATCCACAAAAGAACCATCAAAACTCGAATTCGCATCAACGTTCGAATTAACCCTAACGCAATCAAAAGCGCCGCTAAGAGTTTCGCGTTTGGAAATCACGTTTTTCATTAGATCGCGAAATTTACCGTTCGCGAATTGCTCTTTCACTCGCTTTTTAACTCGGAGTTCAAGAAACCGCTTCAGCTCCATGCGAGTCTTGGGTTTTCGTTTTCTGTTAGAGACTTCGTTAGGTTCGTTGAGGAGAGAGGCGAGGTCCATCGCCAACGTGGATTTTCCAATAAGTTGGTTATTTTCAAACGAGTCGAAATCAGCGTTTGCGGTTGAATAAGTAGCGTTTTGTGTTGTTCCAACATGGCGTTTTCCTGAGAGTGATTTGAATTGATGTTGTTGTTGTAAGGAATGAGTGAAATTATGTTGTGGAAAGGGAAAATTGAAAGAGAGAAGATGATGTTGTTACTTACCTATTAGTAAAAGCGAAAGAGAAGAAGTGATTGTAGCGTTGTGGAGTGATTTGAGAAACTTGGAAGTGGTAATAATGGGCATAATAACGAATGCTTCCAATAGCCAAACGCAAAACGCAGCTCATCCCACTATCTATCTACTGTCAGAGCAACATGAGAACGAAACAAGGGAAACCACGGCACGGCAGGGTTTTTACTTCTTGGAGCTCCAGTGTTTTGTTTTAGATTTAAAACAAAAAAAAAAAAAAAAAAAAAACCAAAGAAATTAACTGTTAATATTATTGTTATATTGTTTTAAGGGTAAATATTTTTTTTTTGTCCCTAACAAAAAATACGTGTTGGAAATGTGGCCTCAAATTCAAGAGGGGGTGAATTGAGTTTTAAAAATTTTTTTCGCAAAATGCCTCACTTTCTTTCTTGAAAAAGATTTTCTTGAATTAATATGATTTATACACAAGCAAGACTAAAAGAATAGAAATCGATACAAGCAAATAGTATGCAAAGTGTAAATTTAAATAAGCTCAAGTAATCAAATAATGCTAATGTAACAAGATAAAGGGTTAGAGAGATTGCAAACACTATATATCCTGGTTCGGACACCACCACCGTGACCTACGTCTAGATTGAAGTTGTCCGTTCAACTTTCCACTAATGATCAAGCTTCAAGGGTGCTTGACAAACCACTACAACCTTCAAGACTTTTGGTTCTTGAAATCCTTACACTTCCACTCACTTTCTAAGGCTATGAGCAACCTTTACACTAGGGTCTCATTACCCTCAACTCAAATAAACAGAATGAGAGTGTTTAGAAATGAATTTGTACTCTTAAAGTACAGATTATACAAGTTGAAACTTATGGGTATTGATCAATGACACAAGAATAGAGCTCAAAAGAGTTTTATGATCAAAATGAGTAAGAACAAGCAATGAATGAGTTTAATTCAAAGAGAATGATCAAAGATGATTGCAAAATCAATGGAACAGTAAAACTTGACTTGCTAGTTCGTAATAGATGAGTTTATATAGGTGTTGAGACAAAACTAGCCGTTTATAGCCGTTACACTGCTTACTTTCCAGTAAGTATTCAAATACTTCATCTGGTATTCGAATACTTTGTTCTCAGCACAAGTACTCGAATACCGTCAAGAAAGTATTCGAATACTTTCTTGACAGAACATCAATAATGCAGTTTTATGAGTTGTAATGCATTCCTTTTTGTCTCTAATCACTTTTAATGTATTTCCTTGACTTGTAGAATATGTTTTGAGGTTACGAAATATGTCAAGGGTCTTTTCATAATAATTAATGTATTTCCTTGATCTTGTGTGTTGAATGATTTGCTCTTGTTGTCTTGTTTGAATTGTTTCCTTGGACTTTTTATTGTTGCGAGTTGTATTATCTTTGACGTCGCTTCTACGCTTGTTTGGTATCATCAAAACTCTTGTATAAGTGAACTCTTCATTTTAAGCGCATTGGTTTCACAACACGGTCCCCACTTTAATCTCTTACAAAAAAGAATTAGTCTCGAGGTCCCTAAGAAATTCAAAGTGGACCTATTTAGTTGAAATCGTGATTCCTCATAAATCCAAAAAAACCCACATTAGTCATTTAAAAGGACTAAAATGGGTCCACTTTGAATTTCATAAGGACCAACCGATTAAATTTTTTTTGTAAGGGACTAAAAAGAGGACCGTATTTTTTGTTAGGGACCCAAAAAGATATTTACTCTTTTTTTAAGCATAATTTCTCGTGCTTTACGAGACAAATTGCATATATAAAAAAGTGAATCTGACCAATTTGCTTTTTTTTTAGTGAGCCCCTCTCAATTTTTTAAGTGTGTACAAGATAATTTTATCTGATGTAATAGGAGAAATATATTCTCATTTATTTTTCTATATATATATATATTATTGGAAAAAGTATTTCTTTAGTCACTGGAAATAAAATTATCTGTGGAGAACTCAAAACGACGTTGTTTTGAAGTTATAAGATTAAAAGATTATAATGATAAAGATTAATATAACCTTACAATATATTAGAATTACAAAAAACATTGAATTTTGCCCCAAAATAACATTATTTTAGACTCACTAGAGATAATTTTTCTCCGTTGACGGGAGAAATTCTTTATCCTATATTAATATTAGTGTTTCTCTTGATGATGTTGTTTTGAAAATTTTGCAGTATGATTTTTTTAAAACGCCCATACTTTTTTCCCTAATCCAAAATGATATTATTTAATGTCGAAAGAAATAATTTTATAAATCTTTAATTTTATTTAAAAAAACTAATGACGTGAATTAAGTGTATTTATTTGAGAATAAATTTACAAAAAAGAAATACAGTTTGAAGATGAATTCAAAAGTTAAATTATTTATGGGTTTAAAATTTTTAAAATAACTTTAAATAATTTTATCTAATGTTCATCAAAATAACACAAAAAAGGGTGTGGGGATAGGGGGACACGAGATGACACACCGACATATTAATTCTAAAAAATATCAATTTTAACATGTTAGAACATGTTTTAATATTAAATAATATTTTTAATATATATAATATAATTTATATTTAATACATATAAAAGCTCATAATAAGTTATATAACCAATCAAATATTCAAATTTTATAACATAAATATAAAGCAAAAATAATTTTTCGTACCTTGTTAATTTTTTATGTCAAATTCCATAAAAGAAAAAAATGATTTATAAATTATTTTGATTTATAAATTATTTTTTATATTTAGTTATCAAAATAAAATTTAGATCTAAAAAAAAGTGTCGGATGCGTGTTAGAGCGTTGACCGCATGTCAAAAAAAGTTGACCGCGTGTCAAAAATGCATATCAGAGTGTTGACCGCGTGTCCTAAAATGTTAACCGCGTGTCGGAACATGTCAGTGTCTGACACGAGCTTTAGTTTTGAGCTCCCGGTGCACATCCAAATCAGTGGGCCGCAAGAGAGAGAAAGAGAGAAGAGAGTGAGGAGAGAGCAGAGAAGAGAGAGAAAAAAAAAATTTCCTCTAGATGTCATCTTTTAATTGGAAGGAGCAGGAAGGGCACGATCACTTTAAATTTTTCTGTCCGTCATTCATTTTTCAAAAAAAATTGCATATCGGTGCTTTCTAGGTGGGGCCTATGTTTTTTTTTTTTCTCTCTCTTATCTTCACATGTGTATACATGGATCCTACACAACTTTTTTTTATACAAAGGTAGGAATTATACATATAACCTTGTACAAACTATTCAAACTCCACACCATTAGACCAATCATAGTAGCTTGGTTTTATACTTTTCATGCAACGTAAGATGAGCCTTCTTATGTCATAAAGACAAAAATTACTATGACTCATATATTAGAAAATGTCATGTATAAGACCTATATCAGCAAAACTTTTCTTCTCATGCTACATGAGAAGTATAAAACTTGTTTATGCCAAAACTTGTTTTGAATTCGTAATGATTCTTGTGCAATATTATGGATGAATACTCTATCAAGAAAGCTGTAACAATCTATAATCAAGCCTTTATTTAAGGCACCTTTATTAGGAGATTCTGTTATATGTTAGGATTATTAGGAGATTCTGATGAGTTTGTAATTGCTCTTTATTAGGAGATTCTGATCATTTGTAATCAAGTCTTTTATTTAATTCTGATCATCTGTAATCAAGCCTTTTTATTTAAGGCGCCTTTATTAGGAGATTCTAATTTTTGTAATCAAGCCTTTATTTAAGGCTGCAATCTGTAAATGAAAAGTGTGCATTTCAATTCAAACATTTTTTGTTATGGTATCATGAGCCTATCGATCTAGCTTCCTTATTTTTTCTTCTTTCTTCAAAAATTTTTTCCAGCCAAGAACCATGGCTGATAGAACGTTCAAAATAACCATGGCTGATAGAACGTTCAATTTTTCTCCTCATTCTGCTCCAGTTGCACATGCTTTAACCATTCCGGCTGATGGAGACACCAAAGGTATTGCGTCTCTGGCTGACCTTACTCCAGATGTGGTTCAATGATTGTTGACCATAGTTGATTCTTCCAAACCACCTTCTGAAAAGCTATTTGGTAATGCTTCAACACCTTCTTTTTGGCTTATTGACAGTGGTGCTTCTCAACACATGACTGGTAACCTTGCCTATATGACTGATATTCATCCTATACCTCCTTGTTCTGTTGGTCTTCCAAACGGCATGCGTACATATGCTGTTAAAAGTGGAAATATTCTTTTAACACCTTCGTTGGTTTTAACCAATGTGCTCTATGTTCCATCTCTTACATGCAATCTTATTTCAGTCTCCCAATTAATAAAATCAAATACTTGCTATGTCCTTTTCGCTAATAGCCATTGTATCCTACAGGACCGTCACTTGAGGACGAAGATTGGGAGGGGTGATGAACACGAATGGGTGTATGTGCTGAGATCTTCTACTGTTTCTCAAACATCAACAAATGCGGTGCAAGCTAAAAATTCTTCTTAGTTGTGGCATCGAAGACTTGGCCATCCCTCTAGACACTATTTATCGTTGCTTCCGTTTATTTCAAATTTCAATAATACTGGCCATTGTGATGTCTGTTCTAGGGCCAAACAATCTCGCAGTGTTTTTCCAATTAATAAAAAACGTTGTTTGAATGCATTTGATTTAATCCATTGTGATCTTTGGGGGCCATACCGTACTATTTCTTCTAGTGGTGCCCGATATTTTTTAACTGTGTTGGATGATTATAGCTGTAATGTCTGGATATTTCTCATGCATGATAAAGGAGAAACATACTTCCACATTCGCAATTTTTTTAACATGGTCTCTACTCAGTACAAATCATCAGTGAAATGTCTTCAAACCGACAATGGCTCAGAATTCTTATCTTCTCAAATGCAAACTTTGTTGAATGATCGAGGAATATTCCATCAACAATCGTGTACATACACACCCCAACAAAATGGTTGTTTTGAGAGGAAACATCGTCATATTCTTAATGTTGCTCGTGCAATACGATTTGATGGCCATTTACCTATTGACTATTGGAGTGATTGTATCTTGAATGCTGTTCATCTCATTAATAGAACCCCAACTAAGCTTCTTGGTGGTTTCAGCCCATTCGAAGTTCTGCATGGAACCGCTCCAACATATGATCATTTACGTGTTATTGGGTGTTTGTGCTACTCTACAACT